ACAGCACATGGGAGGCAGAGGCAGGCGGATTTGGGAGGCAGAGGCAGGTGGATTTCTGAGTTCGAGGCCAGCCTGGTCTACAGAGTGAGTTCCAGGGCAGCCAGGGCTACACAGAGAAACCCTGTCTCAAACCCTGTACCATACCTTGGTACATGTGTAGGGGTCAGAGGACAACATGTGGAGCTTGGGTTTCTCCCTCCACCACGTGGGTCCAGGGGATTGCACTTCTTGCTGAATTTGGCTGCACGCACTGCTCCTCGCTGAGCTGCCCACCAGTCCCAGACCACTCCCTCTATAGCTCATGAACAGTGGTAAGGATGGGCCTGCTTTCCAGTAGTTTCAAGTTTCTATGTAATACAGGTCAGGAAGAGCTGGAGTCATCAATCAGCTGAGGGTCCAGGAAGGTCAGAGCTGATCTCCAGCTCCAAGACTGTGTACCTGGATTTTCTTGAGAAAGAGCTCAAAATTCAGCAGATGTGAGATGACAAGTGGGGTCTTAAATTTCATCTATTTTGCTTTTGTTGTCGTTGTTATTTTTGTTTTGTTTTTAAACAGTCTCATTATTTAGCTTAGCTTGGCCTCAAACTTACCAAATAACCCAGACTTGCCTTGAACTCAAGGTAATCCTTCTGCTGTTCTAGGCAAATATTATACTAAATGAGCTACATTCCCAGCCCATTGTGACATTAAACTTTTGTTTAATCTAAAAGGTCTAACCAGAAAATAATACTGCTTCTAATCATGTATTACTTTTTACTTGATGTATATATAAAGTTTTTAATAATTTATTTGTTTATTTTTTTAAATTGTAATTCATTCACACAGGGGTTATAAACACAGAAAGACAGGACGTGGGGAAGGGGATGACACTGGAGCATGGGTGTTCAGGAGGAATACAGATATCTTTCAGAATAGGGTATTGTCTGGGTGAAGGTTCAGGGGACAGATCACTATGACTCTGCCTATGACTCACTTGTCCTTATCTAAGTTGGTATTATCTGCCAAGACTACCTATTTACAAGGTCTATGACTCCTCAGGCTGGTAAATTTCCACAAAAGCTGCCTGTTTACAACAGCTTATAGCCATCTGTTTCAATGTTTTTCCACTGAGACCCAAGACTTGGTGTTAGTATACCTGTATGACAGGCCTATTGATTTTAGGCCTATGAGTGATTTTAGGCCTTCAGTGTGTAAGCAGGGCTGCCCCTGACATCTCCTCCCTTCTCTAAGTATAGGAGGGCTGTGGTGATTCTAATCTTGCGAAGGAGAGGATAGAGGCCTGACCTCCAGTAATTGAAGGGGACCTTGTAATGGCTCCGGTCCCCCTGTTGTTGTCCAGTGAGGCATGAGGGCCATACCCATCCCGATGTCTTTTTCCTGGAAAGGGAATACTTTTGACATACTTGATATATATTTAACCACTACCCAGTTGACAGAGCCCAGGTCCAAACCTGCATGGCTGGCTTTGTTGGGGGTTATCTCTATGCAACAGTGGTGCCATCAGCCCCTGTGGCTTTTTACGGTCACCCACTGCCCTGGCTAGTTTTATGTCATCTAGATACAAGACAGAGTCATCTGACAGGAGGGAACTTCAGCTGAGACAATGCCTCCGTAATATCTAGCTGTAGAACACTTTCTTTCTTTTCCTTTTTTTAAAAAGATTATTTATTTTATGTATGTGAGTACGCTGTATCTGTCTTCAAACACACACTAGAGGAGTGCATCGGATCCCATTATAGATGGTTGTGAGCCACCCTGTAGTTGCTGGGAATTGAACTCAGAACTTCTGGAAGAGCAGCCAGTGCTCTTAACAGCTGCCAGTGTCCCAGCCCCAGGACATTTTCTTAATTAATGATGATGTGGAAAGGCGGAGCCCTCCTCCATGGCCTCTGCATCAGTTCCCGCCTCCAGGTTCCTGCCTTGTTTGAGTTTCTGTCCTGACTTCATTCAGTGATGGCCAATGATAATAGAAATGTAAGCCAAATAAAGGCTTTTCTCCTCAAGATGCTTTGGTCATGGTGTTTCATCACAGCAATAGAAACACTAAGACACCCATTTAACTAATTCTATATTGAAGTTGAACTATGTGACTTTAATTTTATTTGTCAACTTAATGTGTTATTGTCCTCTTGACACAACTAAGAACCACCTTGAGAAGAAAGAACTTCAATTAAAGAACTTCCCAGACCACATTGACCTATGGCTGTGAGAAATTGTCTTGCTTAGTGATTGACGTGAGAGAGTCTAGTCCACTGTGGGTGGTACCATCCCTAGGCAGGTGGACCTGGGCTGTAAAAGAAAGCTAGTTGAGCAAGCCAGGGAGAACAAGCCAGTAAGGAGCATTCCTCTGTGATATCTGCATTAGTTCCTACCAAGAGTTCCTGCCCTGACTTCCTTCAGTGAAGGTCTGTGAACTGGAAGTGTACATATCCTTTCCTTCCCAAGTTGCTTTTGCTCAGAATGTTTTATCACAGCAACAGAAAAGCAGACAGAACAAGCCGTCTCTAAATCTGGCAGGTCTCTTCCCACCCCCACCCCCACTTCCTGTAGGAGAGATGCAGTACAGAATTCAAGCTGAGCTTGAAAGGCCATGAAAGGATGCCATACTCCTCAGCGCTCTAGTGTGGAAGATTCCATTTTCCTTCAAATCCTTAAAGAAATGCAAACAAAACAAGATCTTCCGGGCCTGGTCATGACAATGTGTCACCCAAGACACAGACAGGCTTTGTACATACATCCTGTTCTCAACGTCTTTGAAACCTTCCTGCCTCGTCTCCCCAGTGAAGGGATTACAGGTGTGAGTCACCACGCCTAGCTGCAGATAATCTTTAAACCCAAATATTGTCTCTAGGCACAGTGCTGCATGCTTTTAGGCCCAGCACTTGGGAGGCAGAGGCAGAAGGATCTCTATGAGTTTGAGGCCAGCCTCGTCTATAAAGTATTCTCCAGGACAGCCAGAACTGTAGAGAGAGACCCTGTCTCAATGGCCCCCCAAATGTGGAGTCTTCCCTATCTACCACAGAAGTGCAGCACTTGGTCTTGGCTGCTTCAGAAAGGGGAGCACAGGAAAACATCTGCCCTCTAGGAACACACTGCCCAGAAGAGTCTTGGGACTAAAGAGCCTCTGGGAATGGAGTGGGCTATTTTCATAAACTAGAACAAATCATGTAAGTAACAGGAGCTGGGATTGGGGATGGACAAAGGTACTTTGATAGCGTCAGGCATATTCCTGTGGTGTCACAATGTCACCACATTTCAAAGCTGCTCCTTTCTCATCTCCCGCTACACGCTCAGTGCCTTCAGGAGAACATGGTCTCCTCTTCATCTAAGCCTGCCCTTGCTTCCGTACACCTTTCCCACCACACACAGACATAAGTTATTCACTGTTGCTGTCCCCTGTGTCCACCAAGCAGTCCCGTGAGTGTGGAAACAATTCACTGAGGTGCACAAATAAAACCGAGTGTTCCTCAAGGGGCAGACATCTCTGGTGAGGGACAAGTAAGTAGGTAGACAATATTCAGATTTAAAAAAAAATGTCTGACATATACTTTCCCCTGAATTCTGTTAAAATTCAAAGCTTAGCTGGGCAGTGGTGGTGCATCCCTTTAATTCCAGCACTTGGGAGGCAAAGGCAGGTGGATTTCTGAGTTTGAGGCCAGCCTGGTCTACAGAGTGAGTTCCAGGACAGTCAGGACTACACAGAGAAACCCTGTCTCAAAAAACAAAAAACAAAAACAAAACGAAAAATTCAAAGCTTATAATGTATATGACATTGTCAGTTTTGACCGGGTCAAAACGTTTGTGACAACTTACAAACTGCTTTAAAATTTGTTTTGAAAAATAACATGTCTCACATATTAAAACTGTCTTGGAATTAGAAAACCTAGAAGATAGAGGAGAACTCATGGTACTACGTGTGACACTGGCCTTTTGTCTGAAAGAGTGTTTTCTGAGCCAGAGTTGGTGTGATCTAATGAACTTCTAGAAAACCATCCCTTTTAGAATACAGATCTGCACCCTGAGACACAGAACTCCTGAATTCAGAATAAGAACCAACCCTGAAGATTCATTATTTATTTAGGTTAACATTTCTTCAGCAGGAGTTCATGGGTGGAGGGGGGTTTGATCAGAGGAATGGATATCAGACAGACCCCCATCCCTACAAACCCTGCTTTATTCCCAGACAGGATACTAAGCAGGACTTTCTGATGAAAACAGGCTGAAGACCCCAAGTCTTCAAGACATCCTGAGTCTGGGAGAAGAACTTGGACTTGGATTTGAGAAACTTTTACTGAGAACCAGGCACAATGATGCATACCTACAATCCAGAGGCAGAGGCAGGGGAATCACTAGTTCAAAATCAGGCTGGGCTACATAGAAGGCTACATGGTGAGATTTTGATGAAGGAGGA